CAACTATGCTCATGACAGCAGTATTTTTAATAGCAAAAACCTGGAAACAACCTAGATGTCCCTCAACTAAAGAATGAATACAAATTAGAATACTTCTCAGATTTAAAAAAATAATTATATCTTGAAATTTGCATGCAAGTGAATGTGACTAGAAGAAACCATCCTGAGTGAGGTAACCCAGACCAAGAAAAATGAACATGGTATGTATTTACTCAGAGTGGATACTACCTGTAAAGCAAAGGATATTGAGAATATAGTTCATGATCCTAGAGAAGCTAAGTAACAAGGGGAACTCTAAGCAAATCCTACATAGATCTACCTGGGAAGGGGAAATTGACAAGATTGCTTGACAATATTGGGAGCATGGGAATGGGAGGAGTAGGGAGGACAGAAGGGGAAGATAGGGGAGAGGGGGAGAGGAGAATTTGAGGAAAGGGGAGAGATGGGATGGAGGAAAGACAAAGATGAGAGCAGAGAAAGTGATTTCTTGGTCAAGGGAGTTGTTATGGTGCTAGCAAGAAACGTAGCTCTAGAGAAATTTCCAGGAATCTGCAAGGATGACCAAAGCAATAGAGGAGAGGGTGCCCAAATAGGCCTAGCCATGTACTCTGACTGATGGATATCTTAAATATCACTATAAAATCTTCATTAAGCAGCTGATGGAAACAGAGGCAGAGCACTTCAGAGCACTGGACTGAGCTCCCAAAGTCAAGCTGAACAGTGGGAGGAGTGAGGTATATGAGCATAGAGGTCAAGACCATAATGGGTACTCTAACTGAAACACTTTTTCTGATCTAATGTGGGCTCTCCAACTCTAGCCAAACAGGGAAGAAAACAGCATAGATCCAAACTACTCCCTCTAAATGTGGGTGATGGTTGTATGGCTGGGGCAGACTATGAGGTCTCCGACAGTTACACCAGGATTTAGTTCTACTGCTTGTATTGACCTTTTTGGAACCTATTCACTTTGGATGCATACATTGTTCAGCCTAGATATAGTAGGGAGGGCTTTGGACCTTCTCCAAAGCAATGTTCCTTACCCTCTCTGAGGAATGGATGGTAGGAAAATGTATGTAACGGGATGTGGGGAGTGAGTGGAAACTAGGATTGGTAAGTATAATGAAAAATGTTACTTTGTTTTCTTTTAAAAAAAAAAAAAAAAAAATAAAAAAATTAAAAAGAAAAAAAAAAAAATAAAAAAAAAAAATCCTGAGTCCTAAGAAAGATGAGCTTGGTATGCAAGCACTCATAAGTGAATACCAGCTCTAAAACAAAGAATAATGAGCCTATAGTCTATGACACCAGAGATGCAAACTAACAAGGAGAATGCTACAAAAATATAATAATCCGAGCCTAGGCAGTTTGGATGCTCACCTTACTAGACCTGGATGGAGGAGGGTGGTCCTTGAAGCAGAGAACCCTGATTGCTCTTTGGGCTGACAAGTGAGGGGGACTTAATTGGGGGAGGGGGAGGGAAAGGGGAGGCGGCGGTGGGGAAGAGAAAGAAATCTTTAATAAATAAAAAAATATAATAATCCAGCTGCAAAGGGGAAATATCCAAGGATTCTTGTAAAATTGGATCATGGTGATGGGGGTGGAAGGGAAGTTGAAGGGATGGGGAGGAAGACTGAAGAAAGGGAGGGGAGGAATATTTGAATGAATGGCATAGTCAGTATGGGGAAAGGACAGTGGAAGTCAAGTAAAGAGACATTTTGATTGATGGGGCTAGCATGAAACCTGACACTAGAGAAATTCTCAGGAATCTGTTAGTATGGCCTCAGCTAAGACCCTCAGCAATAGTGGAGAGTTTGTTCTAGCTGTCTTTGCCCAGTAGTCAGGTTAGAGACAATCTTAAATGTCTTCCTATAACCTTGAGCCAGCACCAAATGTAAATAGAAGCAGAGAGTCATGGTGTATTACTAAGTTGAGCTCCCTAAGTCTAGCTGAAGAGTGAGAGAAGTGAGAATATGAGCAAAGAGGTCAAGACCATGATGGTGATATCAATTGAAACAGTTTACCTAAGTTATTGAGATCTCACTAACTCTGTCTGCAAGGGAAGGAACCAGAATAGGACCAAACTAGACCCTCGGAATGTGGGTGACAATTGTATGGTGAGGGCAGTGGGGCCAGGATTTATCCCTAAAATTTACTGTTTTTTTTTTTTTTTTTTTTTTTGCTACCAATTCTTTTTGGGGGGAGTATCTTGCTCAGCCTAGATATAATAAAGAGGGCCTTGGCCTATCCCCAAAGCAATATGCCTTACCCTCTCTGATGAATAGATTGAGGGTAGAGAGGGGATATGGAAGGAATGGGAGGAGGGGAAGGATTGGGAACTGTGATTTGTATGTCAAATGGAAAAAGAGAGTTTTTAATAAAATAAAAATAGAAAAAATAATGTTGCTCATTTCTATGTGCTGGAATCCATTAATAAAAATATAAAACAATAAAGTTCAAGACTTTTTTTCCCATATAGGTCTTGTAATGGAGAAAAAGATATACTACATATGTTTAAATTATTATTAATTGTAAACAGCTAAGTGGTGTGAATATTTGAAATTTGGAAAACAAGCATTATCAGGAGTGAATTAGTAGTCAGGTATATCTCCCAGAGTAAGTCATACCTGAGAAGGGACCCACAGTGAGGAGAGAGAGATAATAGAAATGCTTTGGATAAGAGAGTGATTGGTAAAGTAAAACTGAGAAATTAAAATAATACAGAGAGAAAGAAATGAGATTATGAATAATTAAGTACAGAGTAACAAATTATGGATGGGTCACAATATGGATGATTATTGTCATAAACATTAGAAAGCTTTAAAGGAATTGTTAATGCAAAGCAACCACTACCAGGAGTAAATAAGTAATAAAGTGTAGCTTCCTGAGGAAGTCATATCTGAGAAGATAACAAATGTGAAAAGAGGGGAATAAAAGAAATATTTGGAAGAAAACAGTGAAAGGAAACATGAAATAAAAGACTAAAACAATATAGAGAGAATGAAGTGAATTTTTTTCATCTACTTAATTATATATGTTAATTTATATTTTATTAAACCATTGAAATTCATGTAATGCATTAATATGGGAGATAGCTAAAATTTTGCAGCATTCATGATTAAATAAAAGATAAGCAAGTACAAATACTGCACAGTATTTTGTGAGGAGTTTATTCATTCCCTAGTATTAGGAAAGTTTCATGGGATGGCTAAAGAAGAAATGTATTTTACAGATAACTATAGGTATAATTATTATTTTTTGCAATATATCCTGCATGTGACAGTCCTATAGTTATAATGGGCACAATGTGTTTAAAACAAATCTTCAAAGAGTATCTGGTCATGAATAATAAACAAATTGTTATATATTTTATATCATGCGTATAAGTTGTTCAAAAGATGGACAAAGAGGTTAATGTATTAAATCCGTACTGTGATTCCCCAAACATAATATCTTTCTTTGACTATATTTTCTTTGTATTTAATCAGTTTTCATCATACTTTTCAGTTCTTCAGCAAAGGTTCCCTAACAATCATTTTAAATTTTATGAAATATCCATTAATGGATTGATTTTACTTATTACATTTGTATAATATATAATTGGGCAGTTGGACAATATGATAGGAATAATAAACTACCAATACATACATCTCTATATGAATTAAATATATGAATTAAAATTTAGGGGATTTGGGTAAGAGTTTTATTTTATACATTTTTTAAGACAGTGTTTCTTTGTGTAATTCTGGATTAACTATTATATTACATTTGTGATAGTTTCATGATCTTACAAGTTAAAAAAAATATCTGTTCCATGAACAAAATAATTCTGAATTCAAATTTACATTCTTTCTATACTATTTGATATAAATGTTTAAGTTTCAGAACACAAAGAAAAACAGCACTATTCGACTACACTAATAATACAATATTATAATATACATAATATATATTAGTTCAAGGTCATACATTATTAATAAAAATCATTATAAAACCATTTTGAAGAGCATTGTACTCACTGCATTAATTCCTATTCAAATACCAATTTTGACTCCATTATGGTTTTGACATTATAAGAAACATTCTTGGAAAGTACATTAAATTATTACATTTTATGTTTTGTTCACCCTAGAGTCACACGTCTGACAGCTAATCATTTACTCCTCCATAATACTATAAAGAGAAGACTCCATTGTATTTGAGGGTACTGAGTGATCATTCACATGCTAATCCCCTATCAGTATAAGAAATACAAAGACAGATATCATGTTTTACTTATATGAATAGTGAAATTCAGTGCAGGTGATTGTAACATTTGTGGTAAATAGTAATACAAATTTGAATTCAGTATTGCAATTATATGGCTATCACAGTTTCTAAATAAACCAAAGTATACTTGAACTTTTTTTTAATACTTTCCACCAGTTACAAAAGCAACAATTTAATGACAAGTAAATGGTGACTTGCATTTGTTTATTTTAGTTTTACAATGAAAGAATAAGTATTTGTATTTGCTAGGAAATTAATCTATGAAAAATCTCTAAGAATGATTTCTGTTGCCATTTGTTATTCAAATTCATAATAAGTGAACTAATGTGAGTTACTTTATAACTCTCATTATTTCATGTATTTAATAGTCAAACTCAGAATACTAAAGGGTACACTTGACCCTTTAGTTTCAAAATAAAATGATTCATAGAATCTCAATCAGAAAACTTCTAACATGTAAAATAATATTTTTAATTCTTTATAAAATCACTCCAGTTTCTCAAGATCATAAATTTGATCTTTGCACAACATCAGGAATTTCATACTTATAGAGGCATCATGCTACATCACACAGGAATGGTTAGATTAAAAACTATGCAGATGTCTTTATTTGATACGTTTCTCATTTTGCCCTTCTGCATTGTTGAGAGTCTGTGTTGGATTACATCAAAAAATTCTAGTGATTCTTAGTGATTCAGCAGAGGTGGCTTGCAGTCATATGTGAAATATGACTCTCAAACTCTGTGTTTTACTGGAAATAACCACAAGTATATACTTGAAAATATCAATTCTACAGACAAGGGCTCCTCTTGGACAGAAAGTCAGAGAATGAAATTTTACCAAAGCTTGTAATTTCATGTAAATATACTTTAATTCTTCTTGCACGTTGGTATAGGGAAACCTTAGTTGTTAAGCTGCATTGCAGAACCAAACATGTATGCCAATCTTTTAAAATGAGGTCCCAAATCATTTAGATAGTCAATATTATCTTCTTGATCAGTGACTATAGATTCCAAGGAGCTCAGAGAGCCAGCTGATGATCCTGTGCCCTCAAAAGCAAAAGTTTGCAGTGAATCAAAGGGGGGAGCACATGGATCGGTATTGGCTTCCTCCAACTTCTCTAGAATGAATTGTCGGAATATAGCACTTTCTGGGCCCTCCAGCAGAGACTGCCTATACAGGCTCCTGATCTCCATGCTCTTCCTTTTCCGTGGCTTTCTTTCTCTCATGATTATGCTGCTTCTCAACTCTGAAATATCAAAAGCTTCAGAGTCTTCTTCCCCACCCCCTTCATCATCATAGCAAAATATATTCTCTCCAAATTCTTCACTTTTCTTTGGAAATAGGATTTGATTTCTTCGTTGTTTCATAGTCAGCATCAAAAAGATAAACCCTGGTGAAAGACATATGAATATAAATTGTTCATATAGCATATTGTAAATTTTGCAGTTCTTTGCCTTAACCGAAGTTCAGGAAGTCATTGCAAACTTGATGACTCTAAGGAAACTAGTAGGTCATGGAAAATGTTATCTGGAGTTATAATTCTGTGTGATGGTTTAGAGGAATGAGTAAAGAAAATAAAGTGAACTGTTTTTTCTCTTACTTAATTTAAAATTCAAAATGTAATTTAATTCTTCTAATATTATACAGAACAAAGTACAGTAATGAAATATTTTGAAATCTGAATATGTTTACTCACCAATGATCCATGATAATTGATGTTCAGAAAAGGAATCATTTGATATTTTTGAGGCAAACTCATGGTATAGATATTTTTAAGTAAGTGTTTATAGATTATTATGTATATTTTACTTATAGTATGAGTAGACTACAAAATATATGTATATACTTAAAAACTTTTATATACCAGACCTTGTTATAAAAACTTAATATTTACTGGTAGATCTCATAGTTATGAAAATAATTTATTGTTAATGATTTATGACAAGTGAGAAACAGAAAGTATATGTACATGGCATCATATCTCCTGTATGAAAGAAGACACCCATGTGTAAAACAATCCAAATGGCATTCTCAATTGAGTTCTGTGATATAACAGCAGTTTTAGAAAATCCAAATTAACTCAGGTATCTGAAACATACAGTGATTAGTAGCTATATGGAGAAAAAATTAAAAACAGGTAGAAATTGAACAAGGTCAAAATATGTTTTAGTTTAAAATAAGAATAACTAAATATAGTGTGTCTAAACAATAATCAATTTAACTTTTTTTCTTAGCTTTCAATTTATGTGTCTCCTTAGAACTTTCCATTATAGTATTTGAAATAAATATGAGGTGATCTTACTAAAATTACACACACACACACACACACACACACATATATATGTGTGTGTAT